CTGATGTACACCTCCCTGCTTTCAGGGAGCTCACATTCTACTGAAGGAAAGAGACAATGAAAGGGTAACAAATCAGGTATTCCCTGATCTTCACAAGTGCTCTGAAGAAACCTAGCAGAATATGGAGCTAAAGGATATTGGGGGGAAGCTCCTAATGGGAAACTCTGGGAAGGTAGCTCTGAAGAAGTGATATATGGCCAGAAGTGGGCAATATGGGTGGACAGATGGGACATTTAGGGAAAGCAGTCCAAGATCGGGGAGAGAGTGTTCTCTCTATGGCAGGATGTGCCCCCAAATGCCCTGGGATACGAGCAGTTAGGAAATTACCGTGAAGCAATGTTATCTCAGGGAGTATGGGAAAAAAAAAAAAAAAAAAAGCCTGGTCTTCCCAAGTCATCCCTAAAACATCACTGCTAAAATTACTCACTGGCCTCACTGACACCACATCCGCCTCTGTGGTGCCCCAGCTCCGTACTAGATGTGGGCACCAAGTTCACATTTCACACCCTCGAGCTCAAGGTTTTCATCACTCAACCTCTGCCCCAAGAGCCCTTTTTTCAGCTCTGCCTCATGGCCCACTGCTGCCCAAGCCCATCTCTCATCAGCCCTGTTGTCTCCTTGCCACCTATCAACCACAAGTTTAAGAGCACAAGAAGTACCATAAGGACCCATGGAAAGAGCTTCAGCACCGAAGAGACACCAATGAAGAACAATGGTGGCAAACAGATAAGCTGCATCTGGGACCTGGGAAGCAAGCTCTTCTGTTCTGGTGGAAGAGTCCAGAACTAGAAGTTAAGGGACCTAATCTCAATTCTGCCACCAACTTTTATTTTATTATATATTTTTTAAAGATTTTATTTATTCATGAGAGACACAGGGAGAGAGGCAGAGACACAAGCAGAGGGAGAAGCAGGCTCCATGCAGGGAGCCCGACGTGGGACTCGATCCCAGGACCCCAGGATCATGCTCTGGGCCAAAGGCAGAGGTTCAACCATTGAGCCACCCAGGGATCCCTGCCACCAACTTTTAAAATGGTTCTATGGGGATCCCTGGGTGGCACAGCAGTTTGGCGCCTGCCTTTGGCCCGGGGCGCGATCCTGGAGACCCGGGATCGAATACCACATCGGGCTCCCGGTGCATGGAGCCTGCTTCTCCCTCTGCCTATCTCTCTCTCTCTCTCTCTATCATAAATAGATAAAATTTTTTTAAAAAAATGGTTCTAGGGATCCCTGGGTGGCGCAGCGGTTTGGCGCCTGCCTTTGGCCCAGGGCGCGATCCTGGAGACCCGGGATCGAATCCCACGTCGGGCTCCCGGTGCATGGAGCCTGCTTCTCCCTCTGCCTGTGTCTCTGCCCCTCTCTCTCTCTCTCTCTCTCTCTCTCTCTCTCTCTGTGACTATCATAAATAAATTAAAAAAAAATGGTTCTATGAGCAAGCCACTCTCACAGCCTCTCTTTTCTAAAAAATGAAGGGGGTGAGAGAGAAGACACCTAATGTTTCCTATGCTTTGCTTCTCTAGAAACCAATAGTTGAAGTGAAATCACTGGAAATTTTAGAAGGGAGAACTATAAGCAGCCAGTGTCAAACTCAAAAACTGAGTTTGCTAAAATAAATGATGGTAAGTCAGCACTGTGGGGTAGAATAATACAGTGCTCCAGAATATGATGGCTTCAAATCCTGGTTCTGCATACTAGACACCTAAATGTCTCTTCCTCATCTGAAAAATAGGACTAAAGATAAAACCTACCTCTTAAGAATTGTTTCATGAAATAAGTACAATAATCTACACAGAACACTTGGTATGAGGTAAGCATGCGACAAAATGACAGTTATTACTATTAACGACATGACTGCTTACTGTATGTCAGACACCAAGTTCTCATTGGGGCTCTCTCTAACTATCCTGCACATAACAAATCAAAACTCCAGGGGTGGGGCCCAGGAGTCTGTTTATGTAATAAGATCCCCAGAGGATTCTGAGAATCAGCTATTTGGCAAACACTTCCCTGGAGCACATACCACATCAATTCAGTTGCATCTTACTTACCTAGTGCTTTGCTGATCTGTTTATCCAGAATTCTCAACAAGGCAAACCTGGTACAAGGCTACTCTAAGATCTCACTTAGCTCTTACAGAACTCTAGGCACCCTTGCACATGTACCACTTCACCCTAGCACATCCAAAGTAAAAAAACTGCCAGCCAATTTCCTCAATTAGCATTTCTAAAAATAAGATTCAGGTAACATAATAATATGCAGAGTACTTTCTTTAACAGTCACATATTTCCTAAGATCTTTCTATTTAGAAAAGTATCTTCTATTTTAATACAAGAGCACAAACCCTGAAACCGTACCACCTAGTATCTGTCCCAGTTCTGCCACTGGCTAGTTTATGATCTTGGACAAGTTATTTAACCTCTATATTTCCTAACTTTAAAACAGATTGATAATAAGACCCATAGTGTTTATCTCACAGGATTATTATGAGAATTAAATAAATTATAGAAACTAAAGAGCTTAGAATAAAACTTGGCACATAATAAGCTTTATGTATTAACTGTTACTATTGTTACTCATGGCAAAAAATACTGGTTTTCCATTTACATAGTGATTTAAATATTCCCTTTAAAATTACTTCAAGGGATCCCTGGGTGGCGCAGTGGTTTGGCGCCTGCCTTTGGACCAGGGCGCGATCCTGGAGACCCGGGATCGAGTCCCACGTCGGGCTCCCGGTGCATGGAGCCTGCTTCTCCCTCTGCCTGTGTCTCTGCCTCTCTCTCTCTCTCTCTGTGTGACTATCATAAATTAAATAAATAAATAAATAAATAAATAAATAAATAAATAAATAAATAAATAAATAAATAAATAAAATAACTTCAAAAATGACTTGATTTTAAGACTATATAAAAAGTCAACATTGGTATATGAGACAGAAGAATAAAAATCAAAAGGGTGGTAGTGAATTAAATAAAAACCAAAAATTTGTAGCAGGGGAAAAAGGAGGTTGGAGAAAAAGATATTACTAAAAGCAAGGTGCCAAATGCATGTTACAGAAGACTTGAAGAAGTCATTTCTCTTCTCTGGGCCTTGGTTTTCTAGTAAAACAAAATGTTGAGCCCTTCTGCTAGGCTCTAGGATTCTGAAGTTTGTATGCAACCTGTATTTCCCTTATTGTATTCAGAACATTTCATCAGTGAGTAATGACAAATGTAGCATAGGATTTGGAGAGTGATCACCTGGGTGGGAAAAGAACCTGGGTGGGAAACGATTTCTTAAAAGTTTGTGTAAACAGGGGCAGCCCCGGTGGCCCAGCAGTTTAGTGCCACCTTCAGCCCAGGGTGTGATCCTGGAATCCCAGGATCAAGTCCCACATCAGGCTCCCTACATGAAGCCTGCTTCTCCCTCTGCCTGTGTCTCTGCCTCTCTCTCTCTGTCATGAATAAATAAAAATCTTAAAAAAAAAAAAGAGGTTCGTATAACACTTCTACCTCTGAAACTAATAATACACTATACATTAATTAATTGGATTTAAATTAAATTTTAAAAAAAGTTTGTGTAACAAAGTTAGGCCTACAGCTTTTGTGCATCAAAGAAAGAAAACAGTACTCCTGGGTGGCTCAGTTGCTTGCGGGTCTGCCGTTGGCTCAGGTCATGGTCCTGGGATTGAGCCCCACATCAGACTCCCAACTCAGTGGGGAGTCTGCTTCTCCCTCATTCTGTCTCTCTACCACTCACGCGCTCTCTCTCTCTCTAATGAATAAATAAAAATCTTAAAAAAAAAAGAAAAGAGGTCTCATATGCAAAAAGCTCACAGTTTAAAGAAGAGATGGGAAGAGGGGAAGAACTATTTCTATGTATTATGATGCTTTTGACCTAGTGCTAAGAAGACAGAGTAAACAAAACTAAGTACACAGTCCAAGGTAAAATACTGTGGACTCTCTCCACTTAAAATCATGGTGAATCAAAATGGCAAGCAAAAAGAAAATGGGAGAAGAGAATTCTTAATACCTGGGTATCAGTCAGTCCAATGAAGGAAGAGGGTTATTTCCCGATCTGCACAGAAATTATCTAAAACCTATCTTTGCACTTATGTAGATGAACTCTATTACTTATTCTTTGACTATGGCATCTCTCCCTTATTGTATATTTTCTCTAAAATCCTGACTATAAGCCCATCAGCACACTACAACCCATTTCTCTGACCTGTTTCCACTTGCTCCTCTTGATATACTTCTTTTCTCTAACTTAACTGACCCTACTCACTTTCCAGTAACCCCTCATCATTATTCCCACCTTCAGACTTTTATGTTACTTCCACTGCCTCAAATGCTCTGCTAGTCCATTTCATTTGCATTTCTACAAGTCCAAATTCACCATATAATGGAGAGGCAATATAATGAAGTGTTAGGATCATGAACTCCAGAGCCAGAGTGCCTGAATTCTTATCCTTGCTCCACCATTCACTAGCTGAGTGCCAGGAGAATGCCACTTAAACCTCTCTAAACCTCAAATGCCTCATCTGAAACCAGTGATAATTATAGTAAATCACTTAAAGGCATTGTGGTCAAAATGAACAGGTTAATACATGGAAGGGGCTTAGAGCAGTGCCTGGCACTTAGTGAAAGTGTTGGCTATTATGACAGTGACAACATATGATGATCATGTTGTGAAGGCTCAGGCCCAAGCCATATGCTCCCTCCACAAAGCATTCCTTGAACCTTCGGTCTAGAAGAAATCATTGTCTGGTTTGAGTTCCTACAGTACTTTTAACTGCCACCTCTCATGGAACACTTTATCTAATTTTATATTATTTACACATAGTTGTCTCCCTTACTCGCATTTCTTGAGAGCAAAATCCACTTCTGATATGTCTCTGTATCACCTACAGCTCCTAAAATGATGCTTTGATCATAGTTACCTACTCAAACATTTGTGAATGGGTGGATATTTGGTCACGAGCAGGATGTTTCCACCAGCATGCAGAGCCTCAACCATTCTTACCACAACATCCTCCAAGATTTTAGTAGGGCAAGGTCTGGAATGAAATTCAAAGTGTTCATCTTCTGATTTCTTCTTTGATTCCCGCTCCTGGATTCTCTTTTCAATTTCCAAATCAAAGCCAACAGGCTGAGTGGGTGGCTTCACAGGTGGTTTCTTGGGCAAGATGGGCCCACCTTCAAGAATTCTGGGATCAAGTTCTCGTGCTTTGAATTTGTATCTGTAAGATAAGAGTTTAAATGACAATCACCAAAAGAAATTTTGTTAACAAAATAAAAGCTACACAAACTACAAAGTAAGCCAGAATAGAAAAATAGTAATTATTACAATGACCCAGGCACAGCAGAATTTTGACTCTCTCCATACCCACTATCTCTACCCCCAGAGCAAAGAATAAAGGAGCCAGTCCTAACATTTCCAGCACATTAAAGACTGGTGTTTCTTTTCCCAGAGGAACCTGCTCCTCCTCAAAAGAAGTACAAAAAGTAATGAAAGAAGGATACAGGAGACAAACTCCAGTGCTGACCATATTACGTTCCAGTTTCTTCCACCTATTATTATAGCTGGAATGAGATCTTGAGTAGCCATAAAGGGTGGATGGAATCTACCTAAATGAAGCTCAGAGGACATTCCTTCTGATTCCTTCCTCAGAAGGAATGTCCTCTCCCACCCCAACCTCTGCATTCGTTTTTTAACAGTTTACACTCCAGGATATCTCCATAATCCCACTTCTAATTTTTTAATCATTGAGGCAGGGGCACAGACTATAGAGAGCCTATAACTTAAATGCCATAAATTCCCATGGCAAGAAAAGCAGCAACTATCCCCATTATAGAATTGAAAAGAAAGCAGGTTCTTGGAACTCTTCCTCAAGTATTGCTGATGGAACTTACTGTTGCAGTTTCTCAACCTCCTCAGCCTCCTGATCTGCTGCACTTTTGTAGGTCACAGGCCTTGTGCGCTGTTTAGTTTGCAGCACAGGAGTCTGTGGGTCTCTGGATATCTTGAGCCCAGCAGATTTGGAGGGTAACAGAGCTGTAAAGCAAGATAACAGATATTCACCTAGCTCCCCAAGACTCTGTTTGCTGTAGGTGCTGATTCAGCTTAGCAGCCTGTGATGCCAAATCAGAGTGGCTGCCCTCCACTTTCAGCTCAGCTCATGTCAGCCAACCTGACAAACATGCAGTCCCTTCTTGCCTGTGACTCTTTATTGAGGGGTATGATGAAGGTAGTCTTTGGGAACTATCATCTTCTGAACTTAAAATCCATTTGTGTCTGATGGACTACTAGAAAGGCATGTACTACTGCCTTTCTATTGACAATGCCAACTACTTTGCCTTTACTGACACATGAGATTTTTGCTTATTCCAGCTTTAAAAAATAAGGCATTTCTAGTGCATCTGGGTGGCTCAGTCAGTTGAGTGTCTGCCTTCAGCTTGGGTCATGATCCCAGGATCCTGGGATTGAGCCCCACATTGGGCTCACTGCTCATGGGAAGCCTGCTTCTCCCTCTCCTCCCTGCTTGTTTTCTCTCTCTCTCTCTCTCTCTCTCAAATAAATAAAATCTTAAGAAAAAAAAAAGGCCTTTCTAAAGATCAAGTAATAACTCCCAATTTTGTGAATTCCCTAAAAGCATCTACATCAAAACATCAAGATCACCTCTCACAGAAAGTCAAATAGAGAAAGCAAAAAAACTATGTCAAAGCACCACCACTACCATTCACAGAAAACATTAATTCACTTGTCAGGGCAACCTTGTTAATTTTCATAATTATGTAGACTGAATCCTCTAATTTAGATCTGATCACATAACAGCAGAAGATAGAAACCAAATCTATTTATTTTAGAAATAAGCCAGCCTTCAAGTATACATATAACCATTATTTATAACTATATAAAGTTTTAAATAAAAAATGGAGAAAATACACCATACACAAAAATAAACTCAAACTGGATTAAGGACCTAACTGTGAGATCCAAAATCATAAAAATCCTAGAAGAGAGTACAGGCAATAATTTCTCTGACATCAGCCGTAGCAACATTTTTCTAGATATGTCTTGTGAGGCAAGGGAAATAAAAGCAAAAATAAACTATTGGGACTCTATCAAAATAAAAAGCTTCTGCACAGCAAAGTAAACAACAAAACTAAAAAACAACCTATGAAAGGGAGAAGATATTTGCAAACAACATATCCAAAAAATGGTTAGTGTCTAAAACATATAAATACTTCTATAACCCCAAAACCCTCAATAATCTAATTTTAAAATGGGCTGATTGGGATGTCTGGGTGGCTAAGTGGTTGAGTGTCTGCCTTTGGCTCAGGTCGTGATCCCGGGGTCTGGGATCTAGTCCCCCATCGGGTTCTCCACAAGGAGCCTGCTTCTTCCTCTGCCTATGTTTTTGGCTCTCTCTGTATCTCTCATGAATAAATAAATTAATCGTTATAAATAAATAAATAAAAATAAAAAAATAAAAATGGGCAGAAAACATGAGCAATTATTTCTCCAAAGAAGACATACAGATAGCCAACAGACACATGAAAAGATGTTCAACATCACTCCTCATCAGGGAAATGTAAATCAAAACCACAATGAGAGATCAACTCACATGTGTCAGAATTGCTAGAATCAAAAACACCGAAGGAGGAGGCACCTGGGTGGCGCAGTTGGTTAAGCATCTGCCTTCGGCTCAGGTCATGATCCCAGGGTCCTGGGATGGAGTCCTGAGTCAGGCTCCCTGCTCAGTGGGGAGCCTGATTCTCCCTCTCCCTCTGCCCATCCCCCTGCTTGTGTGCACTCTTGCTTTCTGTCAGATAAATAAATAAAATCTTAAAAACAAAACAAAACACAAGAGGGGGCTCCTGGGTGGCTCAGTCAGTTAAATGTTGGACTCTTGGTTTCGGTTTCAGATCAGGTTATGATCCTGGGGTACTGGGATCAAGCCCCATGTCGGACTCCCTGCTCATCGGGGAGTTTGCCTGTTTCCTTCTACCTCCACCCCTACTCCAGCTTACATTCTCTCTCCCTCTCAGATAAATAAATCTTAAACAAATATAAGAAACAAGTACTAGCAAGGATGTGGAGAAAAAGGAACCCTCATACACTGTTGGTAGGAGTGCAAACTAGTGCAGCAACTGTGGAAAACAGTGTGGAAGTTCCTCAAAATATTAAAAATAAAATTACCACATGATCCAGTAATTCCACTACTGGGTATTTACCCAAAGAATACAAAAACACTAATTCAAAAAGATATGCATACCCTTATGTTTATTGTGGCATTATTTACAATGCCAAATTATGGAAGCAGCCCAAGTGTCCATGAATAGATGAATGGATAAAGACATAATATACACATATACAGAGACACACACTTATACACACAACGGAATATGACTCAGCCATAAAAAGGAAATCTTGCCATTTGCAACAACATAGATCTCAAGTATAACGCTAAGTGAAATAAATCAGTCAGAAAAAGACAAATACCGTAAGATTTCACTTGTATGTTGAATTTAAAAAACAAAACAAAGGAAAAAAGAAACAAACCAAGAAATAGATGCTTAACTACAGAGAACAAACATGGTTACCAGAGGGGAGGTGGGGGGGGATAAGTGAAACAGGTGAAGGAGATTAAGAGTACACTTATCTTGATAAGCATCAAGTAATGCATAGAATTGTTGAATCACTATATTGAACCCATGAAATTAATAAAACACTATATGTTAACTATACTGGAATTAAAATTTCTTTTAAAAATTGCAAAAAATTTTTCTATTTGCCAGGACCAAGATTCTTTAAAAGCAGGGTATATCAGACTCTAAAAGTTATATATTATTTAGAAAGTCATATTTAACATTTAAATTTCTATTAGAAAAAATTTTTTTCATTATTTTTCTAATCTAAAATTTGATGAATGACTACTGGAACATAATAACAATATTAAGGAATGCTATACTTAGGGGGCTCCTGGGTAGCTCAGTGGTTAAGTGTCTGCCTTCGCCTCAGGTTGTGATCCTGGGGTCCTGAGATCGAGTTCTGCATCAGGCTCCCCTCTCTGCGGGGAGCCTGCTTCTCCCTCTGCCTGTGTTCTCTGCCTCTCTCTCTCTCTCTCTCTGTGTCTATCATGAATTAAAAAAAAAATCTCATTAACGGATAAATAAAATCTTTAAAACGAAAACAAAACAATATGTAAGTGCTATAAATGTAGAGGGAGATGCAACAAGAGTCAAGAGAGGTGGGAGATAGGTAGGACATGTCTCTGTGCTGTGTCCCTGGCAGTGAAAGAAGTTGAAGATCCAGGGCAGAAAGGAGATAAGCAGTGATTGATACCTGCGTGGGCAGGTAGGGAAAGGATACTTAAGCTCAGGTGGAGTGTTTGTTCTTTGAAGGGAGGGTGGAAGAGAGAGGAGTGGGTGTAAATGCTGGCAGGTTTGTAGGTTTGGGATGAACATATGAGAGAGTTCTAATCTCCTAGCTTCTGTCTTTATGAAAATAATTACTGCAAGAAGGAAGGTAAAGAAGTTTGAGAAATAGAAGTGGTATAAAATAGTTGTCCTGAGCCGAAGGCAGATGCTCAACTGGTGAGCCACCCAGGTGTCCCTAGTACTTACCATATTGTAATGATCTATTTGTTTCTCTAAGTTAGAAACTTGATATTGAGCAGCACCAATTCCATTTTTTTCACTGCTTATTATCCCCTACTCCCAACAGTGCCTTGTTTCTAGTGGTAAAGCCTGTTAAATGGCTAAACAAGGGATCCCTGCGTGGCGCAGCAGTTTGGCGCCTGCCTTTGGCTCAGGGCGCTATCCTGGAGACCCGGGATTGAGTTCCACGTCGGGCTCCCTGCATGGAGCCTGCTTCTCCCTCTGCCTGTGTCTCTGCCTCTCTCTCTCTCTCTGTGTGTGACTATCATAAATAAATAAAAATTAAAAAAAAATGGCTAAACAAAAGCACACAACCCTGAAAAACTGGAATGCTTTCATTGTCTATAGGTTAAGTAACTATACCATAACATTTTGACACATGACAAAGGTGTAATTCCTGGCCAATTACTAATCAAGAGGCTCAAGGCGGTTAATGGGTAGAAGTACACTGATAGCCAGGGGTCGGGTGGAGGAGTTCAAAGATGCTCAGTGGTACATTTGCTATCTGCATATAGGCACATACCATACTTTAGTTTAAAATCTTAGGATTTCAACTAAAGGCAAATTTGTATAAGCAAAGGGAATTCTAGGGGAGGCTCCAGCCAGCTATAATATTGGTATGAAACTTACTATCATCCTTCTTGCTCCTCAAGTGATATCTGTTAGGGGTTCGTTTGTGAAAGGCTTCAACCTGCTGTGCAAGGGGCACATATGTAGAAGCTGTTTCATCAAATGTTCTTTTCTTTCCTTGGGACAGGTTGAAAGGCTTAATAATGGTGCATCCCTTAGTCACTCGGGCCTGTAAAGAAAGAAATTGTTCTCCAAATGAAGTGTTATGGAAGAGCTCAGATCTACCACAAGCCACATATTCAGCACAGAGGATCAAAAGAAAAAAGCCCTGTGGTGAAGCAAAGGTTATTATTCTTAAATTTGTCAGTCCTTGATCAAAGGTTAAAACTAGTCTATTACCATCTTTTTAAAAAAGGGAGAAAGGATCTAGCACTTAACAAATCGTCTGTTCTGGGCAGCCCAGGTGGCTCAGCGGTTTAGCGCCGCTTTCAGCCCAGGTTATGATCCTGGAGACCCAGGATCAAGTCCCACATTGGGCTCCCTACATGGAGCCTGCTTCTCCCTCTGCCTGTGTCTCTGCCTCTCTCTCTCTCTCTCTCTCTCTCCCTCTCTCTCTGTCTCTCATGGATAAATAAATAAATAAATAAAATCTTTAAAAAAAAGTGTCTGTTCTGCAATAGTAAATAAGGCGATTTTTCCCAAGCACATCAATGTTTTAAAGCCAGCAAGAACAAGTTTTCTGAGAATTAGAAGGAAAACAAAAAGCTGCAAAGGTATTATTGCCCTCACACTCAATTCCATTAAGAAAAAGCTGATTTGGGTTCTAGGTCTAGATTAGGCCAAGTAGCTACCTGAATCAAAATCTCTGCAGACATCCTCCCCAAAACTAAGAGATGAAGAAGCCTAGTCCTTGGATGATTAATTTTCATAAAATTAATCTCTGACTGGAAACAAAACTCTTTAATGGTCTACATCTCAACAGAAGAAGCACAACGCCAGGGTTTCAGACTGCAAAGGGCTGACTTCAATAAGTGATGACGCCACTGCAAATGCAAGTAGAAATTCTTAGTACTATAATTTTCAGTTAGGATTCTTACGGTTTCTGTTAGACTTGAGTGTTCTGCCCCAACATCATTTTTCCCATAAGCCCTATCATATATTGTACACCAACTCTGCAGACACAAAATTTTTTCAAGAATTTTTCAACAGCACAAGCTGCAACAAGCTGATACCTACAGTTTGTCACACAAAATTCTGTGCTTTATGTACATTCTTAATTCACTTTTCACAGAAACTTCATAAGATGCTTCCCAGAAAAACAGAGCAGTTTCTCCAAGATCACATAACTAACAGGATAAAGCGAGGGGTTAGATCTAGCTTAACCAAAAAACATGCTTCTCAGACGGGCAGCCCGGGTGGCTCAGCAGTTTAGCACCGCCTTCAGCCCAGGGCCTGATCCTGGAGACCCAGGATCGAGTCCTATGTCAGGCTCCCTGCATGGAGCCTGCTTCTCCCTCTACCTGCGTTTCTGCCCCCCGCCCCCACTCTCTGTGTCTCTCATGAATAAATAAATAAAAATCTTTTAAAAAATAATTAAATAATTTTTTAAATGCTTCTTTCAATTATATTATTAGAAGTAGTGACCACAACTACTAACACCTGAAATCCTTGCTGAACTAGTAACAAGAACATCCATCGAACCCATCAACTTACAGGAGATGCAGGATGCTTTCGCAGTTCAGATGTAAAGTTCACTTCTTTATATTCCTCCTGGTTCTTAGGATGTTGTTTGATTCGCTCATCTGTGCAGAAGTGGAAGTCAACTGATTTGGTTACCTGGATCACTGATTTCTTCACAGGTTGCCCTGAGTGAGTAGCAGAGTAAAACATATAGGTAACATTAAGAATAGAGAATACTGGTAAATCCCCTTTAATCAGTCCTTTCAGTATTTCTATCACCCTGGATCTAACTTTGTTCAACTCTACACATCATCCAAAACAGTCATCAGGGACACTACTATGTGGGCCTTACTGAGTAATATTGGTTTGAGGACCTTTGGTCAGATGCATATTGTAAGGAGGTAGCACAAGGGGAGAAGAACCCCAACTCCCAGGTGTGGTCATAGCTCTGGAGACACAGTAACTGGAGTTCTTTTGACAGGAAAAGCTATGAATTGACTTGAAAAGCACATTTAACTTAAGAAGAAAATTTTATAAACCACAGGGGTGATTTATAAAGCAGGGCTTTATAGCTTTGATGCCACCAATAATAACTCTATTCCAGACAGGGCAAAGCAAAAAAACTCTGACACCTCCCCCTCTGGCTCCCTCAGTCCTACTTTTCCTCTGTAGCTACAACTGGACTCACTCAGCTTTCTTTTGAAAGCTTTCCCAATGGCTTTATCTTCTGTCTTAATCCTAATCCCTTCTTTTCCTAATACAAAGAAAATGAATTAGGAAGAAAAAGGAGGAATTCATTTTACTTGAAGAAATGAGGGAAGGTCTCATGGAAAAGGTCTCAAAAGAAAGGTGTGAGTTCTCCAGAATTTTCACTTAGGATTCTTAGAGGCACTCACTTAGAGACAGAGAGCAACAGTGCACTTTAGGAAAGGCCTGGTAGGGCAGCCCGGGGGGCTCAGTGGTTTAGTGCTGCCTTTGGCCGGGGGTGTGATCCTGGAGACCTGGGATCGAGTCCCATGTCGGGCTCCCTGCATGGAGCCTGCCTCTCCTTCTCTCTGTGTCTCTCATGAATAAATAAATAAAATCTTTAAAAAAAAAAAAAAAAAAAAGGAAAGGCCTGGTGAATGTGAATAGTTTTTTGTTTTGTTTTGTTTTGTTTTGTTTTTTAAAGTAATCTCTACACCCAACTTGGGGCTTGATCTCATGACCCTCAGACCAAGACTTACATGCTCTATTGACTGACCAGCCAGGGACCCTGGTCCAATGTATATAAAACATTCTAGGGAATGGTCATTGAGATATATTGGTCATTTCTAATAAACACAGATTTTTCTACTGACAACTAACCAAGAAAGCCTTTTTCCCTTTAGAGACTTCAAAAACCCTACCAAGGTTATAAGAAGCACCCCTCATAAATCAGATTCAACAAAAGCCAAGCTGACCTATCCCTGCAAGAGCAAGTTTCTTGAATTCTTCATTCTTTTTCCGCATCTCCACCACCTCCTGTTGCATTTTCATTCTCTTCTCCAACTCTTGCTCCTCAGTACTTTTTAGAGTCTTCTGCCTAAGGGACAAACCAGTAAAGGAAATAAGAAAGGAGAGAAGAAAGAGGCTCATGATTCAAAACAGTTTTTTTTTTTTTTATTCATAGAGATGCAGAGAGAGAGAGAGAGGCAGAGACACAGGCAGAGGGAGAAGCAGGCTCCATGCAGAGAGCCTGACGTGGGACTCGATCCCAGGACTCCAGGATCATGCCCTGACAGACGCTCAACCACTGAGCCACCCAGGCATCCCACATAGATTAGATTTTTAACCTGTGATAAAATAACTATTAAAACAAAAAACTATTATCTGGTAAATTGATATTGACTTAATTAGGTAACACTATGAAATTTAAGGTAACACTACTTAATTAGGTAACACTATGAAAGAAAAAAAAAACAAGATCACAATTTATACCAAACTATTGAAAAGTTTTCAAAAGGACAGCTAAAATAGGCTATAAAGGGCAGCCCGGGTGGCTCAGCGGTTTAGCGCCGCCTTCAGCCCAGGGCCTGATCCTGGAGACCCAGGATCAAGTCCCATGTCGGGCTCCCTGCATGGAGCTTGCTTCTCCCTCTGCCTGTGTTTCTGCCTCTCTCTCGCTCACTCTCTGTGTGTCTCATGAATAAATAAAATCTTTAAAAAAATAAAAATAATAATAATAAAATAGGCTACAAAAGGTACTATAAAAGACTTATAAATTTGATTATACAGTGATTAGCTTTTAGGCCACAAGAAAAAGTAAGATACTTTTCTTACTTCCTAAGAAAGTAGAATGGGGAAAATATTTGCAAGAAATATGACACAAGTCTATAATAGATAAAATATACAGTGATTAGAAGACAGGCTTAAGAGTGAAACCAACCAGAGTTCAAATCCTAACCCTGTCATTTCATTTTCTGCCTATGTGATCTTAAGAAAACTAATCTCTCTGAGCCTCAGTAAACTCCACTGTAAGATGAAGAATATAAATATTTATCCTCATAGAATATATATGACTATTAAATCAGATATTTCCAAAGTACCTGACACAAAGTAAAAGTTCAATTTAGAGTAGCCATTCTTAGCAATGAGATTATCACTAAGACTACTTACAGGTAAATAGAAAAGAAAACAGACAATTCACCCAAGAGGGTTTATGGAAAAGATATTTACAATAACAGTAATATAATCCTGTCAGCAATCAAATAAAAATTAAAATAAGTTGATGTCGTCAACATTATATCACAATTAAATTTGAAACAATTTTATTATTTATTTTTAAAGACTTTATTTATCTGAGTTAAAAAAGAGCATGATCAGAGGGAGGGGTAGAGGAGAGGGAGAAGCAGACTCCTCGCTGAGCAGGGAGCCCAATGCAGGGCTCAATCCCAGGATTCTGGGATTATGACCTAGCTAAAGGCAAATGCTTAACTGACTAAGCCACCAGGTGCCCCAAATTTGAAACAATTTTAAGTGTTAAAAAAAGATAAAAGTAAAAATTCAGTGTGGATAAGAGTACAAGGAAATAAAAATATCCATCCAAAGCTAATGGCACTGTAAATTCATACATTCATTTCAGAAATAAAATTGGTGGAGCACCTGGGTGGCTCAGGTTGTTGGATTATCTGATTCTTGATTTTGGCTCAGCTTATGATATCAAGGTTGTGCGATTGAGACCTGCCTCAGGCTCTGAGCTTGGTGTGGAGTCTACTTAAGAGCCTGTTACTCTCTTTAAATAAAACCTTAAAAAAAAAAAAAGAGTCTGTTTCTCTCCCCTCCTTCTTTCCCAGCCCCTCCCCACTCTAAAAATATATATATGGAATCCCTGGGTGGTGCAGCGGTTGGGCGCCTGCCTTTGGCCCAGGGCGCGATCCTGGAGACCCGGGATCGAGTCCCACGCCGGGCTCCCGGTGCATGGAGCCTGCTTCTCCTTCTGCCTGTGTCTCTGCCTCTCTCTCTCTCTTTGTGTGACTATCATAAATAAATAAAAATATTTAAATATATATATATATGTATTAAAAAATTAAAATTACAAAAAGAAGTAAAATTGGCAATTAATATCAATAGCCATAATACTAGTCATACTCTTTAATTAAGGAATTTCTCTTTCTTAGCCTGAAGAGAGTACTCAAAGAAAAGTCCCTGCCAATAAAGATATTCGCTGATTATTTGTAATACTGAAAAACTGGTAACTGCATTTTCAACAGGAAATGGTTAAATTTGATAGACTACTAACTATTTAAAAAGGATAAATGTGAAGATTTTATAGTAGTACAGGGAAAAAAACAAAAACAAAAAAACTCTGTGGCAACCAACAGAAACAGAATCCAAAGGTTGGATCTGGAAAACAAAATCCAAAGGTTGCTCATACAATGATTGTGAAAATATATTTTTTGCTTGAATAAAGACCAGAAGGGAGCTTGGCAAAATAAAAACTGTTCCATTCAGGTAGTAAGAACCTTTACTAACTTCCTCCTTTTATATTTCTCTTAATTTGCTTTAATAGTATATTTTTCTCAATATGTAAAACAAGCATTTCCCAAGGTATACAATTCATCTTACCATGGTTTAGCTTTATGAGTTTCCCAAGCTCCTTGTGCTCCAGATTGTAGACACACTCACTTATAATTTTACTCTATTGACTCTAAAGTTTAAATTCAGGAAAGAAGCACACATACCTCACAGGCTGTATACAAGACACAGTTCGTCTGCCCTTGGCTTTCTCTGGGGAAGACTCATGTTTTTTAGAAGTATTTTGATGAGTGCTGCCTTCTTCCTCTTCCTCTGGCTTCTTTTTATTGTTAGAACTTGAGTTCAAAAGGACAAAAATAAAATACTCTCAATTCCTTAAAGCACACCCTGCTGTACTCTCCTCACCAAATCTACCACATATGGCTTAAATTTTCTCATTCTTTAGGACAATAAGCGTATCTTAACCGTAAGATTCCTCCAATAGAACCATTAGATCATATGTACAAATGGCTATAATGGGTAAATTTTGAGAACACTGATATAAGTCAAGGTGTGAATTGTCTGATGATAGTTCAGGAGGATGAGGAGGGATTCCAACTGCTCATCATCAAATGCACAAATGGCAGATAGTTAACCACTTTCCCAATATCTATTCTACTTTCTTTCCTATTAATAAACTCAAATTTTGTTTGGGACAGCAGGTACAGCAGGCAAAAGCACTGTACTTGTTTCAACAGCTTCTCTTCCAACTAAGGAAAATCTAAGTGACACAGTAGGGCAATTGAAGTATAAGCAGAGTTTTTGGAAAATTTTCACTTTTGTGATATGAGTGCTGCCCCTCTTCCTTTACCATACCCTTTTACTCCTGGAACATGGATATAATACCAGAAATATAGCAGTTATCTTGTGACAATGAGGCAACAGGCACAAAAAAGAAGCTGAGAAACACAGAGCTGCCACTTGAGTAACAAGTATGAAAAAAAACTAACACAGAGATGCTGCCCTAGCATTGTTCAGTCACTGAACCAGAGCCAACACAAACTTCTGTGAAGCAAATAAATCACTATTCTTTAAACCACTCTACCTGAATAGGCTATTATTCATATAAATATCTGAATTCATATAGCAAAATACATTCCTAAATAATAAGAACAAGCACAACATATTCTGCTTGCTATTAACCATAGAAGCTGGGATCCCTGGGTGGCGCAGCGGTTTGGCGCCGCCTTTGGCCCAGGGCGCGATCCTGGAGACCCAGGATCGAATCCCACATCGGGCTCCCGGTGCGTGGAGCCTGCTTCTCCCTCTGCCTGTGTCCCTGCCTCTCTCTCTCTCTGTGACTATCATAAATAAAAAAAAAATAAAAAAAAAAAACATAGAAGCAAACAGGAGTAAAACCTATGCCAACTGAGAGAAGCTGTGGCTACTTACACTTTCATTTTTTTGGAGGGTGGAATTTCATGGATGATTGCAGGAGTAGCACATCTCTTGGCTTTCATTTTCCCATGTTTTTCTTTCTGTTCCAAATCTTTCTGAGCAGAGAGTCTAGTAGATCTTCTGTGATATAGGAATTGACAAAATTTATCTGAAATGAATATATCTACTACAGATAGGCAATTGTGCCCTACAAATGTGAAAGTATGTCAAGCTGCCCAGGGCTACAAAGGGTTTAATGGTATTATTTCCACTCTAAAAACCTAATCTCTTGTTTTACTGTTGCTTTAGAAATTTCATCATAAAATGCTGGTGTTTAAATGAAGCAGATTTTAAGGTATTGACAATCACCTAGTATAGTTCCCTCCTTTTATAGGTAAAAGTCAAAAAAGATGAAGTGACTTGACCCTATTAATTACACAGCTAATTGCTGTCAGACTTGAAATTTGAGAGCAGGTCTGATAATTGACAAAGGTGTTTATTCTCTCCTTTTTTAAAGCCATACTCCCCCTTTTTTGGTAAAATATAACATATACCAAAAAGAGCACAAAATAAAAATCAAGCTAAATGATTACAAAGTGAAAACTCATGAAATCACCACCCAGGCTAAGAAACAGAACGCTGGCAGCAGCTACTATCTTGATTTGTTTAATAGTAATCAATACTTTTTTAAAAATTGTTTTGCTATTTAGCATGCATTCCATAAACATGGTACATTAGTTTGGAAAGAAAGAATAACAACAACCAAAAAAAAAAAAATCCCTTTAGATAATATAATCAGACTACTACAAATATTTTTTTCTGTCTGGTTTATTTCACTCAACATTATGTTTGTGAGATTTAACTACATTGATTCACATAACTAATTCACCGATTTTCAATGCTGTATAACAGTCACTGCAGGAATGTACCACTATTTATCAGTTTTCATGTATGTCTCTTGGTGCACACACTGCTGTTGGGTGTAAGTTGTAACACTGTTAGGTCATAAGGATATTGGTTTTATCAACTAAAGCTGTTTTCCAAAGTGCTTATACCAATCTATGTTTACCCTGGCAAGTTTATATTATAGAGTCTGCATTGCTCTACATCCTCCTGAACACTTGATATTGTCAATGACTTAATTTAGCTGGTATGCAGTAAAATCTCATTGTGGTTTCAATTTGCTTTTTCCTGATTACCAATGAGATAGAGCAACTTTTCACATGTTTATCGATCATTTGGATATCCTCTTTGGCAGACTTTAGCTCAAGTCTTTTTTCCACTGGGTTGTCAATCCTTTCCTGACTGATTATTAGGAATACTAAGAATATAAGCCCTTTGTAGGTTTGTGTCACAAGTATCTTCTCCCACTTGGGGGTTGGCTTTTTACTCTTTATGGTATCATTTGATTAGATAAATGTCTCAAATACATCAATACCCCTCTTCATTATGCTCAGTGCTTTTCTGTATTCTATTTAAAAAAAAAAAAAAAAAAAATCGGGCAGCCAGGATGGCTCGGCGGCTTAGCGCCACCTTCAGCCCAGGGCGTGGCCCTGAGGGCCTGGGATCCGTCCCAGGTAGGGCTGCCTGCATGGAGCCTGCTTCTCCCTCTCCCTGTGTCTCTGCCTCCGTGTGTCTCTCATTAATAAATAAACAAAATATTTAAAAATAAATAAATAAATAATCTTCCCCTATTCTAAGGTCGTAAAGATATTCTCCTATATTTCCTTATATGAGCTCTAGCTCTCATATGTAGATCTACAATTCCACCTAGAATTGACTTTTTTAAGGGTGCCTGGCTGGCTCAGTCAGGAACATGAAGCTCTTGATCTTCGGGTTGTGGGTTTGGGCCCCATGTTAGGTATAGAGATTACTATAAATAAACAAACTTGAAAAAAAAAATGACCGTTTTATATGGAGTGAGGCAGGGACCAACTTTCATGCTGTTCTGTCTGGAGATCCACTGGCCAAGCATTGTTTACTAAAGCGGGAGAGGGAGCACTGTTTCCCCCACAGATCTGCACCTTTGTCATATACCACGTCCATATATGGGAGCGTGAATTTCTATTTGATTCCACTGGTCTCATTAATCCTTGAATAACATCATAAAGCTTTAATTACTGCAGCTTCATAATAATATGCCTTTCCATGTAATAGACACTTCAAAAGTATCTGGCTATTCTTAGACCTTTGCATTTCTCAATAAATTTTAGCATCAACTTATCAATGTCCAAAGTGAAAACCATTGGGGTTTTTATGGATATTGCACTGAATCTACAGATTAGTTAGGGAGAATCAACATCTTTATAATACTGAGTTTCCTAATCCATAAATATGGTATGCCCTGCCATTTATTTAGATCTTGTTTAATTTCTCTGAACATTTTCTTTATAAAAGTCTTAAACACTGTAAGGACTTATTATTACATATTCAGGCTTTTTTGCTATTGTATAGAATATCAATTTTTAAATCTTTATTACAAAGAATATCAAGCATATTTTTAAAATTAAGAGAATTACATAACGAACTCTAAATACTCATCAATCAGTTTCAGAAATTATCAACTCATAGCCAATCATGTATCAGTCTTCTCTCCATCCACTCCCCAGATTTTGAAGCAAATCCTAACTAAATGTCTATCTTTCATCTGATATATTTCATATTAATCTCTAAAAGAAAGTACTCATAAAAAAATACATGGAGGGGAGGTGGGCGGGGGGTGGGGGTGACTGGGTGACGGGCACTGAGGTGGGCACTTGACGGGATGAGCACTGGGTGTTATTCTATATGTTGGCAAATTGAACACCAATAAAAAATAAATTTATAAAAAAAATACATGGAGTAATGAAAAGCAAATTTATTGAATTAAGGAATGAAGTAATGGATATACTTCATTATATAATGATGATATATATATTATATATATATCATATATATTATATGTGCATATTATAAAACATAGACAAAATACAAAAATACACCTATTTGAAGGCACTGGAAAGTGACCAAAAGCAGGCAGAAAACAGAGGAACATTTATCCATGAAAAACAGCCACTGCAAAAGGTAAGAATTATGAGTTAGCAGCTTTTTTGCCTGAGGTACTCCCCAAACGTAGCAGTTCCAATAGCAGAAAATTTCAGTCTCACTGGCTAGAGATAACAGAAGATAGAATTCAAGGCCAGTACAACTGGAAATTTAAAGGAAAATCCCAGAAGTGAAACAGCTACAGAAAAGATGTCACTCAAAATCTGAGCAAAAACTCTGTACAAATTCCTGCCTGACTGTTAAACCATGTGTCTTTAGGGGAGACTTAGGGGGCCTGGCAAAAAGACAAGAAGAAACTGGTGAGCTGCCCATCCTTCAAAGACATAACTGCACTAGTTAAAACTGATGAGTTTGCTGTTTTATTAAGTGTATTCCCCACTGTGTGTGTATTTATTTATTTATTCATTCATTCATTCATTCACTCATTCATTCATTATTATTTTTAATTTATGATAGTCCCACAGAGAGAGAGAGAGAGAGAGACAGAGACACAGGCAGAGGGAGAAGCAGGCTCCATGCACCAGGAGCCTGACGTGGGATTCGATCCCGGGTCTCCAGGATCGCGCCCTGGGCCAAAGGCAGGCGCTAAACCGCTGCACCACCCAGAGATCCCCCCACTGTGTATTTAGTAGGATGGCACAAAGTTAACATCTTACTAACTTGAGGTGTCAGTAGACAAACGTTGGAGCTGGCAGAGGGCTGAAAATTTAGAGACAGACTCCAGAAGTAAGAGAACCACAGAGAGGATGAACACTTAGCTGAGTATAAACTCTACCCTAAGTCTTGGCTGACCTCTAACCTTTACAGGCCCAGGGGAAACTGCAAGGAGCCAGACTAAAAAAGCATCAGCTATGTATGCAAATATATGAATAGCCAATAATCACATGAAAATGTGGATCAACATCATTAGGCCTCAGAAAAATGAAAATTAAAAACAATGAAGTATTGAAAAAACTGACAATACCAAAGAGTTAGCTAGGATACAGAACAACTGAAACTCTCCTATAATGCTAGGGCAGCCCGGATGGCTCAGTGGCTTAGCGCCTGCCTTCAGCCCCGGGCGTGATCTTGGAGACCAAGGATCGAGTTCCAAGTCAGGCTCCCTGCATAGAGCCTGCTTCTCTCTCTGCCTGTCTCTCTCTCTCTCTCTCTACTCTGTGTCTCTCATGAATAAATAAAATCTTAAAAAAAAAAAAAAAAACTCTCCTGTACTGCTAGTGGGAAGATAAATCACCTTGGAAAACATTCTGGCTATTTCTTATAATATACATTTTACATTATGGCCCAGCAGTTGTACTCCAAAGTATTTACCCAAAAGAAATACATGTCCTTACAACTATTCATAGCAGCTTTATACAGTCCCAAACTGGAAACAACCCAAATGCCCATCATCTGGTGAATGGATAAATAAATCGTGGCATACCGACTCAGTAGAACTTACTATCAGCTATAAAAAGGAACTACTAATAAACACAATGACAAGTATGAATCTCAAAAACACATGCTAAGTTAGATGTCAGATATAAAAGAGTACTGTATAATTCCATTTATTTATTTTATTTTATTTTATTTTTATTTATTTATGATAGTCACACACAGAGAGAAAGAGGCAGAGACATAGGCAGAGGGAGAAGCAGGCTCCAGGGTCTCCAGGATCGCGCCCTGGGCCAAAGGCAGGCGCCAAACCGCTGCGCCACCCAGGGATCCCTGTATAATTCCATTTATAAAAATATCTAGAACAGGACAAATTAATTGATGGTGACAGGAATTGGAACAGTGGTTGCCTGTGGGTGGGAGATGAGAGAGTGAGAAGGTAAAAGAACCAAAAAAAAAAAAGGGGGGGTAGAAGAGGCAATACAGATTGATTATAAAGGGGTAAGAATGAGAGAACTTTCTGAAGTGATGGAAATGTTCTATATATTTTGATTGTAAGATTTATGGTTGCATGGTGGTATGTATTGTCAAAACTGATCAGACTGTATATTTACAATGTGCAAATTATTATCCAGCAAAATTAGTTAACTTTTAAAAATGAACTGGGAATCATAAAAATTAGAAAGAAAGAAGATAAAGCATATGAATACAGGACTATTTTGGGCCATTACTTAAATTCAACATACAGTGATGTTATTAAGTCAAGAGAAGAATAGCTGGGTGTCTTTAGGGAAAAATGGCTAAGGGATAAGATATCAAAAATTAAAACATATGTTTGTGATAAAGCAACACCTCCATGGAAAAATTATTATTACAAACTAAGGCCTTACTGACTCTTAACTATTTTGTGTAAAAGAAGTTTTGGCCATCTTTCAGCCTACCCAGTGAAACCATGTGACAATAAAATAGTAGGAAGGAATTTGTATGACTATCTACACCTTCCTAACCCATCTGCCATCTTTTTTTTTTTTTAAAGATTTTATTTATTTATTTATTTATTTATTTATTTGTGAGAGAGAGAGAGAGAGAGAGAGAGAGAGAGAGGCAGAGACACAGGGAGAGGGAGAAGCAGGCTCCATGCAGGGAGCCCGACATGGGACTCAATCCTGGGTCTCTGGGATCACGCTCTGGGCAAAAGGCAGCACTAAACCACTGAGCCACCCGGGCTTCCCACCATCTGCCATTCCTTTCCAGATCAGGCAACTCTGGACTCAGATAACTCGGAGATCTGAAATTAATGACACTAATGTTTTACCTCTTATTATGCATTTTCACAATGCATTATCATTTACTGTACTGTCACATACCATCCCATTTGGCCCTTTATGACAAGAAGCCTGAGGGATATGGTCATTCTCAATAAGCTGAGATTTTGAGTGGTAGAAGTACCTGCTGTAAAAATGAAACAAAGCAATAAACCATCCAGATTGTCTAACTCTGAAGGCAGCTGAATTCCTGTTAAACCATCACTTCCAAAATCCATTCAGAATTCAGTCCAAAAAAAAAAAAAAAAAGAATTCAGTCAGGATGAAAGGTAATTATATATAAAATGGAGAAATGAAGACATTAACATTATCCCAAATTCTGAAGAAATTTATAGGACACTAGGTCCCTTTTCTTTAGGCTTCACTTCACAATCTAAACACGGAACACGGGCAGCCCCAGTGGCTCATCAGTTTAGCATCACCTTCAGCCCAGGGCGTGATCCAGGAGACCCGGGATCGAGTGCCATGTTAGGCTCCCTGCATGGAGTCTGCTTCTCCCTCTGCCTGTGTCTCTGCCTGTCTCTCTCTCTCTGTGTCTGTCATGAATAAATAAAATCTTTAAAATAAATAAATAAACAGACAAACAAATGAACATGGAACAGAAACCACAGAATCAACCAGTAGCAATCTCTTAAGACTCGTGTGTTATATGGTTGGTTGAGATTTTATAGAATTCTTTGATTAAAATGGGCTTCTTCACTTGGGATACCTGGGTAGTTCATTTGGTTAACTGTCCAACACTTGATTTGGGCTCAGGTCATGATCTCATGATTTTAAGATCAAGCCTGGTGTCTGACTCCGCACTCAGCATAGAATCTGCTTGAGATTCTCTCCTCTTCCCCCACTCGCACGCTCACTCTCTCTCTCAACTAAAATGAATCTTTAAAAATAATAATAATAATAATAATAAAATAAATTTAAAAAAACAATAAAATGGGCTTCTTTACCAAAAAAGATTAGGATAAGCTTGTATGATACTATCCTCAAAAGGCAACACCCTATGCCAGCATGAGCCTTTACAAAGGTTAATTTCATCACTTTTGAGCAACAAAATATGTTATTATCTGTATATAAATAATATCACTTGCCATGCCTCTTCTTTGAGGATATTCTAGGAAACATCAAAGTATAAAGCAATAGGGGCATCTACATGGCTCAGTTGGTTGGGCATTCAACTCTTGACTTTGGCTCAAGTCATGATCTCAGAGTTGTGAGACTGAGCTCTGCATGGGTCTCCATGCGGTGTGGAGCCAGGTTCTCTCTCGGCCCGACCCCTTCTCTCTCTCTTAAAACAAAAAAAAAAAAGATACTGATGCAAATGCAACAAAGACATTGAATGTTTTAAGACCACCAGTGCCAAGACTTGCTTCTTAACCCATCCACCCATCCATCCATTCATTCAAGTATTTATTCAGCTTCTGCTCCTCCCAGACACTGTTAAGCATGGTAAGAATATACAATGCTTGCCCTTATGAAATTAATTATTACCTATAAACAGGAAAAAATATCTGTCATATCTATCATATAGTCACACAAGTTGCAACCCATACTATCTACAATTCATAAATGTTATGAAGATTTAATGAGGTAATATAAGAGTCTAATATAGTATAGGACACATAGTCTAACAATTATTCTTTGAACATCATTAATATAATCACCACTTTGAGCCTTGAAACAGTCTTACCTCTGAGGCTGCACTGGAGTATTTTTTGAGGTGGTTCCCTTGACTTCAAGGGAAGAACAAATATTTGATGGAATGGACTGTTCCACCAGATTTTCTTTTTCTGCCTCTTTGTAGTAAGTGTTTTCGACTGTGGGAGAGCAAAAACTAGTTAGCACTCAAATCCCAAGGAAATAAGTTGGAGATGAGAAACATATATATACATATAAATAGGACTTAACACTAGACTGAAAACTGCGTGCGTGTGTATATATATCCCTTCTAGGCAGTGGAATTATTAGTCCAGTGACATCTTATACAGAGGACCAATTTATAAAATCTACTTTGGTAGAAGCTGAAATGTAGGATCTAAGGTCTATCTGCCAGCCTAAGTTGTCACGACAGAGAAAAGGATCTCTGACTTTTAATGCTGATATAATTATATTATCAGGCATTATGGGTATAACCACCAGTTTTTCTCCCCTCCAGAAATTAAAAACACTAAGAGTTAAAAGATGTAGCATTTGAAAAAAGGGATTATACAGGCGGGAAGGGGAAGGAGATATTTTATCATAAGTTCTGCTGATGTTAGCATGGCCATCGTGGAACAGAAGGGAAAAAAGCACTATTAGAATAAGGAAACAGAAAAAAAAAAAGAATAAAGAGAAAAGAACAACCAAGTAAAGGCTTCATGGAAGAAACAGCATTTGTTGAAATAGCTTATGAACTGAGCTTTTTTTTTTTTTTTTTTTGAACTGAGCCTTGATGAAAGAAAAAAACTCCAATCAAGTAACAGGAAAGAAAAATCAGGCTATGAAAACACATTTCATGCATTGCTTATTCCAAAGAATAATCATTTGGCTCATTCCCTAAAGAAGCTTTTTTCTGGAGGGGAGAAAAAGAAACAAAAAAACGATAGTGTATTATGTCAAGGCTACAATAGAGGCACTTACCCCATTTAAAAGCAGATATGATAAAATTTTTTAAAATTTAATATAAAAATTTAACAGGGGTGCCTGGCTGGCTCAGTCAGTAGAGCATTATCACTCTTGATCTCAAGGTTGTAAGTCTGAGTACCATGTTGGGTGTAGAAATTACTTAAAAATAAAATCTTAAAAAAATATACTATATACTGTCTATAAAACAAATGCACGTAAAATATAGACACACCATGCTAAAACTAATCAAAAGAAAGCTGGAATGGATATATTAACATCAGACAATGCAGATTTCAGAGCAAAGAATATTACCAGAGATAAAATGATCATTTCAAAATGATAAAATGGTCAATCCCTCAAAATGCCATAACCTAAATATTTATGTACCTAATAACAGAGCTTCAAAATACACAAAGCAAAAAGTACAAGAAATAGATAAAACCATAAGTATAGCCTGAAATTTCAATCTGTCTCTCTAGTTTATGGAATAAATTGACAGAATAATCAGTAAGAATATAATAGTCATAAATAACATAAGCAAATGTGTATGGCTGTATTCCAATAAAACTTTATCAACAAAAATATGTTGCAGTCAACTCATCAAGAGGACATAACAATTACAAACATGTATGGATATATACATATATGTATGCATGTATATATTACATATATGTTATATATATACAAAGCCCCAGATACATGAAGGAAAAACTGAAAAAATTAAAGGGATAAGTAGACAATTCAACAATATAACTGAAGATTTCAGTATCTCCATTTTCAATAATGGATAGTACACTTAGATGAAGATCAGTAAGGAAATAGAAGACTTAAGCAACACTATCAACCAACTTGACCCAACTGACATTATGTAATTCTCCACCCAAAATGACATCAGAATACACATTCCCTTTTAAGTACACACAGAACATCTACCAAGACAGGCCACATTCTGGGCCATGAAACAATACATTCAAAAGGATTCAAGTCACACATTCAAAAGTAATGTTCTTTAACTGCAATGGAATTAAATCCCTCAAGAAATCAATAATAGAGACTATTTCGAGAACTGCCCCCACCATATATTTGGAAATTAAATAACACATTTCTAAATAACATTTAGATAACTTCAAACTAGTAGAAATACAAACTACCAACCCTCATTCAAGAAGAGAGAACCTGTATCTGTTAAAGAAACTGAATTTGTAGTTAAAAAACTTTTCTACAAAGATTCTTTCTACAAAGAAAATGTCAGATGGGCTGAGTGCAGAGCCTGATGCAAGGCTAAATCCCAACACCCTGAGATTATGACCTGAGCCAAAATCAAGAGTCAGATGCTCGACTAAGTCACCCAGGCACCCCAACTAACCCATCATATCATACTTAATGGTGAAAGCCTAAATGCAACAGTCGGTATGTCTACCCTTTCCACTCCTATCCAATATCCTACTAAAAGTCCTAGCCAGTACAATATGCAAGAAAAAGAAATAAAAGGCGTATTTACAGATGACATGATCATCTATTTAGAAATCTGATGGAGGGCAGCCCCGGTGGCACAGCAGTTTGGCGCCGCCTGCAGCCTGGGGTATGATCCTGGAAACCCGGGATCGAGTCCCACATTGGGCTCCCTGCATGGAGCCTGGTTCTCCCTCTGCCTGTGTCTCTGCCTCTCTGCCTCTCTCTCTCTCTGTGTCTATGAATAAATAAATAAAATCTTAAAAAAAAAGAATTACCTATAAAAAAAAAAAGGAAATCTGATGGAATCTAGGGGCACCTGGGTAGCTCAGTTGGTTAAGCATCTGCCTTTGGCTCAGGTCATGATCCCAGGGTCCTGGTATCGAGGCCCCCTCCACCCAGCCCCCGGCTTCCTGCTCAACCAGGAGTCTGCTTCTTCCTCTCCCACTCCTCTCCAGTTTGTGTTCTCTCTCTCTCTCTCAAATAAATAAAATCTTAAAAAATAATAGAAATCTTAAAGAATCTATAAAAAAACCTACTAAAACTAATAAATGAGTTTAGAAGGTAGCAGGATAAAAGATCAGTATATAAAAATTAATTTTATGTCCTTGTATTAGCAACACAATAGGAAATTAAAATTAAAATAGAAGTATGAAAAGAACTTTGAGAACACAAATCAGGGGAATTAGAGAAAAAAATGGTATTTGAGCTGGACCTTGGATGATGAGTAGAAACTTTTCAGTTATATTAAAATGCAGAGGGAACAGCACTAATAGACAGGTGAGAACATGTAATATGAAAGAACACATACACACACAAAAAAAGAAAGAAAGAACACAGACTATGGGGCTTAAGGCGCATGAATGTAAGCAAGGTACATGGTCTTGGCACATAACAGACCCAGCAGAAGTCTCTTGCTTTGGGGCACACTGTTGACAAAACAGTCTTAAACGGAAAGTAGTCCAGATAAATTAGGTAATATTACCTAATATTCTTTCAATTCAAGAAGAGCACAAGAGCAGAAAATCTGCCACACCTAATGAAATAATGAAATTCACCTGAGAGAGCACTCAGGCCACACGTGTTCCAAGCATGCCATACAGTTCTAATCCCTTCTGTAAGAAAGATAATGGATGCAAAAGTTCAGGGTCCTTGTCCTGATCCCAAATTCAACAGATGTCATCTGTGCTCATGAATTAATTATTTGAAAGTCATCCTAGCAGCTTAGACTTTGTAAATTAGAAAAGTTCACTAAAAATACAGCTATTTCCTGGTATGGCTCCTCTAGTTGATGGTCTAATTGAAGCCAGTTTCAGATTTACCTGTTAAGGGTAATTTCCAAATATTCTAAATTGATTGTGGTGATGATTGGACAACTACTCTATCAACATAAAAAACACTGAAATGTATGCTTTAGGTGATTTGTACAGGTGAATTATATCTAAATATAGCTATTATTTCAAAAAATCACTTTTAAGGATGTATGATCTCTTTAAAAATGCTTTTGTTCTGATGAAATAGACAATATTCCACAGATTAGTAACCACCAGTGTAAATGTCAATTATCTTTTAAAATCAAATACATAAAAAAATAAAAATAAAAAATAAAAAATAAAAAATAAAAAAATAAAATCAAATACATGACTCAAAGAATTGTTGTACAGTGGCAAGGAATACATTCTTCTCTCCTGCTCTTTTGTTCCTAGTCAGACTCAGGTTTGTTAAATCTTGTCATAAAAAGAAAACAGTTACACCTCTGGCAACAAAAGTCTACGTTAGCTTAAGTTCCAAGAGATTTAAAAAAAAAAAAAGTGTAGTGCATTATTAGTGTTACATTCACCATGAAATAAATTAGCTCACTTCACCAATAATAAACCAAAGGATACAGCATTTAGGTAATTTCCCCAATCCCTCAGGCTCTTAATACACTGTTCCACCATTCTACCAAGGAGTTTTTTTTCTATTTTTTTTAATGATTTTATTTATTTATTCATGAGAGACAGAGAGAGAGGCAGAGACAGGCAGAGGGGAGAAGCAGGCTTCCCACAAGGAACCCGATGTGGGACTTGATCCAAGGACCCTGGGATAACACCTTAAGCCAAAGGCAGATGCTCAACCGCTGAGCCACCCAGGTGTCCCCAAGGAGCTTTTCTCTAAGATGATCTTTCTTACCTGGTCTCAAAGGTGTGACAATAGCTTGCTGAGGATTAGGCTTCCTCAGAGGAGTTTTGTCCTGAAAAAGCCCTGCTATGCCATTCTTCCCAGAAAACTTATTCTCCAAATTGGCCTTCTCTTCTGTGAAAAGGTAAAAGCATCATCATTTAAACAATCAGCATGGAAGCAAAATAAATCAGTGCCATGCACTTAAATTAGGCCCTAAACCCCCCTACTAGTATACTTCTAAATCATTTGGCAATTACAAACAAAGGTCTAGTGATCAAGAGGAAATGAGTACACATTATAAGTCAGAGATAGACTGTAAAAACTATCAAAACTATCACCAAAACACTGGCAACACTAAACAATGTATCATAGTAAAGGAGAAGTGCAGATTCTGCATTGTGAATAGCTACTTATCTTGGCTTGATACACATTTGGACCATACAAGCATGAACTGGCCTAAAACATCATGTTCCTCTTAAAGAAAACCGTAGCTATTAAGATTTGCAGGGCTTGGGGACCCTGGGTGGCGCAGCGGTTTAGCGCCTGCCTTCGGCCCAGGGCGCGATCCTGGAGACCCGGGATGGAATCCCACGTCGGGCTCCCTGCATGGAGCCTGCTTCTCCCTCTGCCTGTGTCGCTGCCTCTCTCTCTCTCTGTGTGTGACTATCATGAATGGATAAATAAAATCTTTAAAAAAAAAAAAAAAAAGATTTGCAGGGCTTACAAGGGACATCTTATGGTCTATTTGAGTTGAGGTTCTTCTTCAACAGAGTGGCAGGAGGTGGGTGTGTAACAATGGAACACAGCTAGGCTCTCTCAAGGAATTTTATCTTAGTTTCTGCTATGCCCAAACGTTAGCTTCTGCCAACAGCCTACCAAAGATAGAAGTTTCAGGAACATGGTGAGCCCCAGCAATAACACTCTGCATGCATATTCTGACTGCAACTGTGTAAAAAGATGTATTTGGAAGAGAATAGAAAATAATATAACTAAGATGGTTATGAAAGAAGAATGGGACTAATTATTTTCTTCCACACTATATTTAATAGTATCATTGTATTATGATAGTATTGTATGATATGCACAGATATTATATTATGATATAATAGTATTTCCTATTTTGTTTTTAAAGAAACTTAGAAATAGACAACCCACACTTTTCCTCAGGATTTCAGTAAAGCAAAGACACAGGACAGTTGGCCCTCTTCTCCACCCTTCCTCAACACCACTTCCAACAGATCCTTCCTCTCAGGAACTCCACTACATACCATAAAAGGCCTTTTGCAAGAAAATGGCATGTACCATCACATTTGAACACTATCTTATAAGCAATAAGTGCCTCTGCAATCGATTCATTTTTTTCTTCCATCACATACTGATTTTTTTTTAATATAGAGGATAAGGACATAAGAAAGAATAAAATGAAGAGACCCTAGCAACTATTAGCCTGACATATCAGTGGTCTCACCATATTATTACAAAGTAATATGAAAACATAACCACATCCTTATTTATTGTTGACTTGGTATCAGAGTTTGTGTCAAATTATATGTTATGACCCAACATCAGGCAATCCTATCTCTGGGGACTGGGTTCTGAGTAGCATAATCCCTCTAGCTAACTATGAATTGATGAAGGGAAGTAAGAGGCAGATAACTGTAGTTATAAAAAAGCAATACAAGAATCCTTGTGATGTTAGAACTGTTCAATATCTTGACAGTGGAAGTAGATACACAAACCTACGCAGATGACCTACATAGAACTTACTACATAAATGAGTACAAATGAAATTGTGGAAATCTGAGTAAGATAGGTGGATTACATCAATGTCAATATCCTAGCTGTAATATTATATTCTGTGCCCAAGGACAGTAGAGCAAGTTTTTATGTGGCTGCCATCACTACAGACATGTTTTGAGTCCTAAAGTTTCACTTAACTTTGCTTCATCTGGATTTTCCCATATATCCCAACAGATTGAGTACTTATCATTCTTAACTGCAAAAATAACATTGATTTGTACTGGACAGTCCATCTTTAAAACATTGGGCATTTCAATTATTTCTATATCATGGATGATAAAGTATCTTAGTGTAAAAAAGCATTATATTTTAGTTATTTTCTTGCATTACCTTCTATTTTTTGAAAGGTACTCAGAACAAAGCAAACCATTAACCCTTAAAATGGCCAGAGAAAGCAAACACTTACCAAACCAAGAATCTATGTTTTGGGCATCTTCCTCATCATCCAAAGAGGTAAAATTGATAAAGTCCGTGGGAGCATCATAGGAATAGGAAGTTTTAACTTGTGACATTGTCCCCTGCCTTGGTACAGAAGAGCAGGTTTTTCCCAGTTCTCGTGTCACGTTTTTCAAAAGATCACCTTTTAATGAAAGAAATTGGTTGCACATTAATCTAATATACTGATTCCTCAGCAATTACTTTGCTTTTACTACCACATTTACATTCTAAAAATGACCGGACAACACATCTTACTTTTCAAACAAACTAAAATTTTTCTTTTTTTTCTTTTTTAAAGATTTTTTTTTTCAATTCTTAAGCAATGTCTACACCCAATGTGAGGCTTGAACTCAATTCCAAGATCAAAAGTCGTATGCTTCAGGCTCTATTACTAAAGCTATAATCATCAAAAACAGTATGGTTCTGGCACAAAAACACATAAATCAATGGAACAGAATAGAGAACCTCCTGAAATGGACCCTCAACTTTATGGTCAACTAATCTTCAACAAAGCAGGAAAGAACATCCAATGGAAAAAAGATAGTCTCTTCAACAAATGGTGTTGGGAAAATTGGGCTGTCACATGCAGAATGAAACTGGACCATTACCTTACACCATATACAAAAATAGACTCAAAATGGATGAAAGACCTAATGTGAGACAGGAATCCATCAAAATCCTAGAAGAGAACACAGGCAGCAACCTCTGTGACCTCAGCTACAGCAACTTCTTGCTAGATACAGATACATCTCCAAAGGCAAGGGAAATGAAGGTAAAAATGAACTACTGGGACCTCATCAAGATAACAAGCTTTTGCACAGCAAAAGAAACAGTTGACAAAACCAAAAGACAACCAACAGAATGGGAGAAGATATTTGCAAATGTCTTATTCGATAAAGGGCTAGTATCCAAATCTTTAAAGAACTTATCAAACTAAACACCCAAACTACAAATAATCCAATCCAGAAATGGGCAGAAGACATGAACAGACATTTCATCAAAGAAGACATAGAAACAGCCAACAGATACATGAAAAAATGCTCCACTTCATATTGTTGACAATTATATGATCTCACTCATATATGGAATTTAAGAAACAAAAGAGAATCATAGGAAAAAAATAAAACAAGATGAAATCAGAGAGGGAGACAAATCATAAGAGATTCAATCATAGGAAACAAACTGAGGGTTGCTGGAGAAGCAAGGGGGGATAGGGTAACTGGCTGATGGACATTAAGGAGGGCATGTGATGTAATGAACAGTGGGTTTTTTAAGACTGATGAATCACTAATCTCAATCTCTGAAACTAATAATACATTACATGTTACTTAATTGAATTTAAAATTTTCTTTAAAAGTTATATGCTTTACCAACTGAGCCAGCCAGGAGCCCCAAAGTCAACTTTTCTTTTTTAGTAACTTGAAGACACTCCTTGAGATAAATATATTGGAATTAAAAAGAGGCAAAGTTTGGTGAGTACCTACAACATGTCAGGTAGGCACCATACAAGTGTTTTACAGTCATTCTTTTATTTTCCCTCAGTCTACCTTTTTCTCATTTCTAGCCTCTCCCATCCAATTTACTACACTCTCTCTGCTCTGAATAACCTAATTTCTGAAACAAACCATTAAGTTTTATACCTACTAACAAAAATCTTACTCATCATTCAAAGTCTAATCCAATTCTCTACAAATTTTCCCAATTTCCACCTATCATACTAATTGTTGCCTCTCCAAAGCCATAGTTATCATCCAATTTTATATTAGTTAACTATGCAAATGCCTCTTCTAGCAGGCTGTCAAGTTCCTGAAGCCAAGGACTGATTTTACTCACTTGTGTATACCTCATCCATCAAGGTGCTTAGAACAGTATCTTATATATAGTAAGAGCTTGGTACATTTTGCCAACTACAGATTTTCTTTCTTTAGAAATATTTTCATAAAAATACTATTCCTGGGCATGAAGAGAAAGACCTTAAGAAATATATAAAAGAAGGTGCCTGGCTGGCTAAGTAGGTAGAGCACGTAACTCTAGTAGGTTCAAGCCCAAGTAGGTTGGAGAGACTGCTAAAAATAAAATCTCAAAAAAACCCCACAAAAAACAAAAAAACATAAAAGACACATGTCAAAGGAACAAGTCAAACATATAGGTTCATCCCTACTCTCCTGTACAAAGTTCTCACTGTCCTGTAGAAACCTGTGTAGGAAAAAAAAAAAGAAAGAAAGAAACCTGTGTAGGTTTAAAGTCAGCCCCCACTCTAGGTCTCTATGGTTAAGAAAATATCTGGAAGTAGTCTGAAAAACAGACTGAAGGACACACTGACTGGCAAATAATTCCCCTATGAAACCCAATGAGCCACTTGTCTTCATCCAGAGAACAACATGTACTTAAAGTATTCTGTATCTTGGAACAGAAGTAGATACCAGTAATCACTTGCATACACATTTATTAAATAAAGTATCTTTCTTTAAGCATTATTTGATTATAAAAATACATTCTCATTAAAGAAATTAGATCACCAAAAAAACTCTTACAAAAATAATAATCTACAATGCCACAGTATTCCAGTCTCTCATTCTTTTTCTGTATATACAGACATATCTATGAATCTGCTTCACATATTGTGAGCTTTTTCCATGTCAATACATATAGATATTTCAACAATTGATGGCTGTACCGTAATTTATTTATCCCCTATTTTTAGGCATTTCCCAATATTTTCACTTTAAAGATACCACTAGAAGAATATCCTTGTAGCTCAATTTCTGTACACATCCATAATTCTATCCTTAAGATAAATTCTTAAAAATGGAATTGCTGGAGTGGCGCCTGGATGGCTCAGTTGGTTAAGTGTCTCCTTCAGCTCAGGTCATGATCTTCAGTGTCCTGGGATCAAGCCCTGCGTTGGGCTCCCTGCTCAGTGGAAAGCAAGAGTATTAATCACCTACTCTTATAATGGAAGTCATCACCTTGATCACCACCTTCCAGACTTGGGAGTAGCCATGGACAGTTCTGGCCAATGAGAACAAAGTAAGAATCTGCTGAGGGATTCACAGGAAAACTTACTTTCCTAATACAACCACAACCCTGTTCCTGCTCTCTCCTTTGACCCTTCTTCTTGCCTTAAAAGCAAATGCAATGGCTAGAATATAGCAGCTATCATGCACATAAGTGGATGGCCAAGAAAATAATGTTGGCCTCAACGATGCTGAGCTACTGAACATTGATCAAGGATCATTAACCACCTACCTCCAAACGATAACACTCTTTTTGTATAAGTCACTATAGACACATTTTCTGTCACTTATAGCCCCAAACAATCGCAACTAACATAGAAGTCCAGGATTCTAGACCCATCTCTGGTACTTACATATAAGACACATATGACAACAGGTAAGTCACTCTACCTTTCTGCCTACCTACTTCCCATAAACAAATGAGAAAGCATTTCAAGTGTTATAAAATACACTACTGTAAGATTTTTTTTTTAAGATTTTATTTATTTATTCATAAGAGACACAGAGAGAGAGAGGCAGAGACACAGGCAGAGGGAGAAGCAGGCTCCATGCAAGGAGCCCGATGTGGGACTCAATCCCGGGACTCCAGGATCACGCCCTGGGCTGAAGGCAGGTGCTAAACCGCCAAGCCACCCAGGGATCCCACTCCTGTAAGATATTATCACTGCCTTTTGACCTACTGGTATCTCTCTTCTCCTTGACCACATTTGTATTCAAAAGGCCCTTACTGAAAGATTTCCCAGTGACTGACAGTGGTTAAAATTCCCCTGCTGCAAGGAAGAAGTTTTCCTGTTCTTGTGAACAAGCATGCTGGAAGACATGGGAAAATCTTGGATTCCCATGATCTTAATGCCTAACCCAGGTCACTGGGAACACTTCCCAGGCAGGAATGTAATGAAGACTACTAAAGTTGGGGGAGGGAAAAGGCAGGAATGTAATAAATGCAACAACCCCACTTAAGCTTCCTAAAAATCATGATTTCCACCAAAGCATGCTACTGAAAACCACCTGGAAAGCTTTCAAATTTAACCCATCACACTCTCTCTCTCTTTTTTTAATTATGGAGCTATACAGCTACCCTCTTTGGAGGGCAACTGCATTTTTTTTTTTTTTGATAGATCTTGCCAAATGAAAAAGTACTATAGCATCATTCACAAAAGCCAAAAAACTAAAAGCCAAAATTCCACCAAGAGAAGATTGGTTGAATAAATTATGGCACAATCATACAATAAAATATTAAGTAACTTTAATATTAGGTAATTTTGCATATGTGATATGTACACAATGAGCTCCAAGAGCTATTAAGAAAAGTAAAATATAAAAGTGCTTACTCCCGGGATCCCTGGGTGGCGCAGTGGTTTGGCGCCTGCCTTTGGCCCAGGGCGCGATCCTGGAGACCCGGGATCGAATCCCACATCGGGCTCTCGGTGCATGGAGCCTGCTTCTCCCTCTGCCTATGTCTCTGCCTCTCTCTCTCTCTCTCTGTGTGACTATCATAAATAAAAAAATAAAATAAAATAAAATAAAATCTTTAAAAAAAAAAGTGCTTACTCCCATTCATGTTAAAAAGAAGCAAAGGGGTAATATATACATATATATCTTTGTACGTACATAAGACTATTGTGAAAGGAGACATAAAAGGGCTAAGAGGATTTGGGTCTGGAAAAAGAGCTAGGAGTTCTGGGTCAGGGGAAGACTTTTCACTATATGAACTTTAATACTCTTTGGATACATTTTATTATATAAATACATACCTTTTCAGTTTTAAGAACTTCTAGTACTTATTTCCCCCTAAATTGGTGTTTACAGTCCACAAATCACTGGGCTTTCTGGAATTTTTATTAAGTACTCTTGGTAATCCAGCAATAATTGTTAAACCTCTTGTTTTTTGGAAATAAGGTTTCCTAAGTGGTCTATAAATTGGTTACTAACTTCACTTATCCAACTGTTACCATTCTTTCTTTTTTTAATGTTTCTGTATAAAAATGAAATGCTCGGGCAGCCCTGGTGGCTCAGCGGTTTAGTGCCTGCCTTCAGCCTGGGGTGTGATCCTAGAGTCCCGGGATCGAGTCCCACGTCGGGCTCCCTGCGTGGAGCCTGCTTCTCCCTCTGCCTGTGTCTCTGC